TCATTAATATTTTGATCTCAAGATCAATAGGGGTTTTTAAGGTAATAAAATATTTCACATAAAATTTCATAACAAAAGCTGATTCCAGTGGATTTCCTTATTACCTAGCTGGAAAGTTTCTTCAATAATAGGCAAAACTCTTAGGGCAAAAATAATGGAATCGGAATTTCCTGGTAATATGCACATCTACACACTGTGTACTAAATATCTGCAAAGTTTGACCAAATTCTGTGCAGCAGTTTAAGAGGAGTTGCACTAACAAACTGTTCATCTCTGTATTCAAGATATGGCCAAAAATCTAAGTTGAAAAGTGCCAAAATTCACAGAAAAATAATGGAATCGGAATTTCCTGGTAATATGCACATCTACACACTGTGTCCTAAATATCTGCAAAGTTTGACCAAATTCTGTACAGCGGTTTAAGAGAAGTTGCGCTAACAAACTGTTCATCTCTATATTCAAGATATGGCCAAAAATCTAAGTTGAAAAGTGCCGAAATTCCCACAAAAAATAAAGGAAACGGAATTTCCTGGTAATATGCACATCTACACATTGTGTCCTAAATATCTGCAAAGTTTGACGAAATTCTGTGCAGCGGTTTATGAGGAGTTGCGCTGACAAAAAAAAAACAGGACTGACGGACTGACTAACTGACTGACTGACTGACGGACGGGTCAAAAACATTATACCCCCGCAACTTGTTGCGTGGGGTATAAAAAGTTTGATGTCATATCCTCTTAACCTTTAAAAAAATTTAATACTGTAAAAGCAGAAATATTCGTGTGGGATTTAATTTCCTTTATTTCGTTGTAAACAATTTTCAGGGAAATTAAACCCCACATGAAATTTTTATATGACTACGAGGGTTGTTCGGAAAGTTCGTGTACTACCGTCATAACTTTTTTAATTAACGTCATGTCATATCCAAATTTCGAAGAAATATTTCAACAGTAAATTCAAATGATATGTATTAAAAAATTTTTATAAAAAATATCGTGGTTTATTTCAAACTTATTAAGACTTAAAAAATGCGAAAATCGGATCACGGAGCAGGTCAAAATTTTGTAATTTACAATCAAGTCACTAAATAATGTCTGAAGTCATATCTTCTGTAAAATGACACAAAAAACGGAATAATTCTACACGTTCAAATTAAGAATTTTTTCATCGTTTCTGATTCCAAATTACGACTTAATATTTTTCTTCGTTGAAAAGAAATCAGTTTCAGAAGATAGGCAGTCCTCATTGAAAAAGGCAAAAAAGATGACGCCGTAGAACGTCACGGAGAAGCAGTTAACCATACAATTTTGTGTTGTACTCTGGAAAACTCCACAAAAAATCTCTGAAAATGCCGGAAGTAGGAAATATGTCAAAAGCGAGTCATGCATATGTTTGTACATGGTACAAGCGGTATTTTAATAATAGAATACTCTGCTTAGATGATGAATATCTGTGAAAAATGGATTATCTGTAAAAATCTAATCAAAAACATTGAAAAGTTAGTTACGTCATGCTAAGAGTTTGGTGCTTCACAGATGCTGATCCCATGCATTGAAAACAAGAGGCCCAAGGGCCTTGAATCGCTCTTCTGATAAACTGTTCAACCTATCACTTCTATTTGATGATTCTAATCCAAACAGTACCTCCAAAATATTAAATACAGCCATAAAATTTCAAAAATAGGTCAGGGTGACCTACTTTTCTGTTGTCGTACTCCAAGGACCCAAGGTGCATCAACTGACAAAGTCTGATGATTCTAAGCCAATTAGTTCCTGGAATATTTAATTAAAGCCATAAATTTTCAAAAGTAGGTCATGGTGATCTACTTTTCAGTCGACTTACTCCGAAGACCCAAGATGCATCAACTGACTAAATTTGATGATTCTAAGCCGATTAGTACCTGAAAATATTTAATTATAGTCATATAAATTGAAAAGTAGGTCACGGTGACCTACTTTTCAGTCGACCTACTGCGATGACCCAAGATGCATCAAATTTTTACAAAGTTTTATGATCATAGGCCTTAAAATGTCCAAATTATGCCTCTAAAACGCTTTGAAATCGAATGCCTTCAAAGTTCAGAAAGTTGGTCACTGTGACCTACTTTTAATACATAATTTTTATGGCCCCAAGATGCATCATCTTGGAAGATTTCATGATTCTAAACCTCTCAGCATTCAAATTATTGACCTTAATTTTTTTTTGTAAAAGATTAGCCATAAAATTCAAAAAGTAGGTCAAGGTGACCTACTTTTTAGTTGACGTACTTCGATTACCCAAGATACATCAATTGACAAAGTTTGATGATCATAGGCCTTAAATTGTTCAAAATATGCCTCTTCATCATTTTGATAAAGAATGGCCGCAAAATCTAAAAAGTAGGTCACCGTGACTTACTTTTAAGTCAACATGATATGAGGTCCTCAGATGCATCAACTGACAAGATTTGATGATCCTAGTCCTTATAGTAAGCAAAATATCAACATTTTAATAAAATGTAATTTTTGGTCAACTTTGAAGTGACCTTGAGACCACGCCCTTTGCCCCAGGGTGATGCCTTGAACAATTTTTAATCTACACCATATCCTCATCCTTTTGTGTAAGTTTGGTGATAATCTGCCCAGTGGTTCTTGAGAAGAAGATTTTTTAGCAACCAGTACTTTTGTTTCTATTTTCCTAATTATCTCCCCTTGTTTAAGGGTCACAACCCTAGTTTTAGTATAAAAGGGAGCCCTTGGGCCAAGGATACCCTGTGACAAATTTGAAAACAATTGGCCAAGGGGTTCTTGAGTTATGGCCAATATTCTAAAAAGTTTATGCACACCACGCAAATGGCCATAGCATTAGCTCTTTGAGCCTTTGGCTCACAAGAGCTTACAAGAGGCCCATGGGCCACATCGCTCACTTGAGCACATTGGTTAGGCAAAAGCACAAGTCAGTTCAGTATTGAAAGGATTATTGGAGGGGGGGTGTCTTGAATTTTAAATTACCTGATAATGCTAATGTCAATATAACAAATGGCTTTGTTGTACTTTAGAAGATTTTAAAAAATTTTCTCATATATTCCTTTGTAAACATTTGATCCCCCATTGTGGCTCCTCCCTATCCCAGGGGTCATCATTTGAACAAACTTGAATCTACACTACCTGAGGATGCTTCCATATCAAAATGACTAATCATGGCTTTGCAGTTCTTCAGAAGTAGATATTTTCCTATATACTTCTATTTAAAATTTTGATCCTCCATTGTGGCCCCGCCCTACCCCCGGGGGTCATGATTTGAACAAAAATAGAATCTACACTACCTGAGGATGCTTCCACATAAATATGCTCAATCAGGGCTTTGCTATTCCTGAGAAGATTTTTAAAATTTTTCCTATATATTTCTATGTAAAACTTTGATCCTCCATAGTGGCCCCACCCTACCCTGGGGTCACGATTTGAATAAATTTGAATCTTCACTACCTGAGGATGCTTCCACATAAATATGACTCATCATGGCTTTGCTGTTCTTGAGAAGAAGACTTTTAAAGATTTTCCCTATATATTTCTATGTAAAACTTTGATCAGCCATTGTGGCCCCACCCTACCCCCGGGGTCATGATTTGAACAAACTTGAATTTACACTACCTGAGGATGCTTCCATATAAATATGACTCATCATGGCTTTGCTGTTCTTGCGAAAAAAGATTCTTAAAGGTTTTTCCTTTATATTTCTAAGTAAAACTTTGATCCTCCATTGTCGCACCGCTCTACCCCCGGGGGTCATGATTTGAACAAGCTTGAATCTACACTACCTGAAGATGCTTCCATATAAATATGACTCATCATGGCTTTGCTGTTCTTGAGAAGATTTTTAAAGTTTTTTTCCTATATATTTCCATATAAAACTTTGATCCTCCATTGTGGCCCCGCCCTACCCCCGGAGGACATGATTGAACGAACTTGAATCTACACTACCCGAGGATGCTTTCACTGGAGTTTCATCTTTCCTGGCCCTGTGGTTCTTGAGAAGAAGATTTTTAAAAGATGCTATTAATTTTTCATTAATTCTTTATTATCTCCCCTTGAAAGAGGGCGTTGCCCTTCATTTGAACAAACTTGAATTCCCTTCACCCAAGGATACTTTGTGGCAAGTTTGGTTGAAATTGGCCCAGTGGTTCTTCAGAAGAAGTCGAAAATGTTAAAAGTTTACAGACAGACGGACGCCGGACAAAAAACGATCAGAAAAGCTCCCTTGAGTCTTCGGCTCAGGTGAGCTAAAAATGTAACATTAACAAACAAAATGATGCTACTGGAACAATTGTAAGAAAAATAGATTTAAAGTGATAGAGAAACGTTTTTAATGAGTGCACTGGTATTGAGCAATACTGTGTGAAATATATGGTGATAGTTTTTTTTGAGAACCTCATGTTGGTATGTTTTTGACGTTCCGGTGTTATTGAGCTTGCTCCGTGGTTACAAAGCTTGTTGATTTTAAAATTAAATATCATGAATTCTACTTAATCACATGGAATGAAACTTTACACTTAAAAAACAAATATTTTTACATACGATGTGCTCATTTTAAATTACTTGAAGATAGTATAACGAAGATTGGCATACGAACAACCCTCGTATATATATATAGAATAGGGTTACTCTCGAAACAATGAAATTTAATGCCCACCTTCTTGGGAGACTAAACAAAGAAATTTTATCCCCACAAAAATCTGTGTTTCTACAGTATACATTTAAATGTAATATTCACTTTCCATCTATTAATTTATTTTAAGCAAATGTGAATTAATTGATGACTACTCCCAACAAAAGGTGACTTAAATAACCTCTTTGCTCGACACTAAATCCAAAGGATTTGGAAAAAAAACTTATGGGAACTGAAAGGGACGGTGAAGCACTTCACACATCATGACATGTTTGTTAAAAAACGACAACTTTAACACCACAATGATCTGTAGATAACAATCAATTTCAAGATTAATTCTGGCAAAGATATCTCACCATTTCCATTCTCTCGGGAGACCTTTCTGTAAAACTCAGATGCTGTATTTCTTGTTGAGATTCTACCAGTAGTGGCTCGACTTCCTTTGCTAGAGAAATATCCTCTCTTGTCAGCTTCTTTTTTAGTCTACGACCAAAGCATCTTGGTTTTACTTTTTTCATGGTTTTGTCAGATATTTCGTCTCCCATTTCCTGTTGTTTTCTCTCGGGAGATCCTTTTAAAAAACTCTGACGTAGTTTTTCTTGTGGAGAATCTAGCAATACTATATCTTCCATTCCTTTTTGGTCGATTCCTTTGTCTTGGTTCAATTTCATCCCCATAGCTATTGAAATGTTGTAAGTACCAAAATTAAATGATTTTATTTTCTTGTCAACAAGGAATGTAACGACTTCAAGGAACTTTTCATTAAAAAAAAATCGAAAAAAAGCAAGAATTTCAATAGCTCAAATAATCTTACAACAAAAACTTAGACATATTACACGTGTGTGACTAGTTTGAATGTTTCTAGAATATAAATTTAACTCATTATATTATAATAATTGGATATTTATGGTATCATAAAATTCAGAAAAAAGTAAAAATTCAATTTTTGTTATGTATTTTCTTTAAATAATTAGTATGTTTCACTAGTGTCTGATCGATATAAAATGAAAGGATATAAATTGTTTTAAAACTTACTTCTCCTCCATGACACCTGCTTGGCATTACTGGAAAATGCAGGTGTTTTTGTTGTTTGAGCTGGAGGTGAATGCTGAGTTACAGTCACTGGTTTTTCTAGAGCTTGAGAAGGTTGATGTATGCTTTCCTTTCCTGAGAACATACGAAATCTGTGAAAAGCTAAATCAGGTTTTGGGGGTGCTTCAATTGTGTTCCGAGGTGGAAGTAGAGGAGGTGGAACCCCTTCAGGTTGTGCTGCCATATACATCTGGGGAAGAGGTGGAAGGGATGGTGATGGAGCTCTTCCAGGTGGTGCTGCCATAGGGGGTGGTTGGGGAGGCAGACCTGCCCCAAATTTTGATGGCCGCAATATTGGAGTACGGGATGAAGGGGGTGGTTCAGGAACAGCAAATCCATGTGTTTTCTTTGATAATGGTTGTTGAAGTCCTCCAAAAGGAGCTGCCCCCATGGGTTGTAGGGACATTTCAGGAACTGGTTGTGGTCCACCTCCGAAAGCTGAGGATACTCCAAACAACTGTTGTTGTTGGGGCACTTGGAGTTTAGTGACTGGACCTCCAAACACATTGTTAGAAGACATATGTTGTGTAGGTGCCCCAAATGGTTGTCCAAAACTAAACCCAGAAGATCCACTTTTTCCGGAAACTGATGAGGATTGATATGCAATGTTTACACTAGATGAAGTAAGTGCCCCAAAGGGAGGAGGAGGGCCAAAACCTTGCATACTTCCAAACAGACTGCTGGCTGATGGTGCTGATTGTGGAGCTGGGGCCCCATATGCTGGTGGAAATGACCCAAAGCCTTTCCCACTCTGTGGTTGTGATTGGGCTCCAAAAAATGTGTCTTCGTTAGTTATCAGTGGGGGTGGTGGTGGTGCAGGAGTACTTTCATCTTTCATTTGTCGTTTTTCCATCACACTCTACAAAAAAAACCCATTCATTTTCAAAGAAAAGGCTAAATATTGTTTAAACATAGGAGAAATGTTAACCACTTTTCGTAGTTTTCAGAAATATATATATATATATATTTTGTTATAATTTAATCTTTTATCTAAAATATCATAAGGGCATTACTCTGGTTTAATCTATATTGGTATATATATTACTCTTTCTTGATATAGTTTTTGATACCTTTGCTCTTCCTGATAATCTAAATTCTGTCCTTTTTCCATTTATGTGAAGGAAAAACAAATATGCTTTTTCCATATCAAATCAGCAAGCTAACAACAAGATTATGCTACCTTTCAGCTAATTTGCCAACGCTTATTTCTGACTTTGACCAGTGTGTCTTTTGTATTTTTTGTTATAATAATCATTCTATAACGTCCAAATCGATCTCAACCTTGTATTCATATCATTAAATCACCGTCACGGCGGTTCAGTCGGTAGAGCACTCGCTCCGTAATCAAAAGATCGTGAGATCGAATCTCGACTGACCTAAGTTGATAAAAAAGTCAATAAAAAAAATAGGAAACTACTGTCCTTCGCCATGCGTCGGCACTTTGAAGTGGCACGACAGGTGTTGGCACGATAAAGATCCCTCACTGCTCTATGGCCATGAGTGCCGAGAAAAGGTCTAAATTTGGAGCCCTTCACCGGTACATGGTGACGTCTCTATATGAGTGATAAATCCCTGAATGGGACGTAAGGCAACTTACAATCAATCAATCATATCATTAAGTTTTAATAATTAAAATGAAGTCCATATGTAGTGTCAAAACAAGAATTTACGGCACAATTAAATGACTCTAGGGCATAATCATACAAAAGAAAAAATGTAAGACAATTATGAAAGAATTTAATCACACTCGCCACTTTGTATAAGTGTTATGAGCTTGATGAATATATTATCAACAGTTTTTCTACAGTGTGATAAAAGCAAATTTTTATTAGAGAAGTAAAACGTACATCTAAAATTAAGGTAGAACCTATGTCGGAAAAGTCTTCGTCATAGGATTTTCAAACTTTTCAAAATGAGTAATTAGCACTTGGTAATTCATCAATTAAAAATACATGGCATGTTTCCCTGTTATTAAGTGTAGTTATTATACACTGCAACTATAATTTTCAGATATTTTTAGGGGTAAACGGTCATAAGGAAAATATAGGAAATCACAAAAATACTTCTTCGAAGTCCTTTTTTTATATAGACTTCATTAACTGAAGAATACTTAGAAATATTACTAAATATTAAATTCCTTTTTCTTCAATTGATACAAAAGATTAAATCCACATTTCAATAAATATACGCAAATGTGCTCAATATTTTTAAAAGATTTTTTAGTCCATCAATAACCCTAACTTTGTAAATATTTACCAAAAGTTTTGTGACAGTGTTTTCAATCCTTAATATGATGAAGAACATACCCAAATGAATACGAAAAATGATTAAAATATATACCTTTCCCTGCAACATAATGAGAGAGTTTTTTTTAAATCAATACTAGTCATGTTCACCTTTTTGCACTAACACAAGATTTTATATTAAATCAATGTTTTGGTGTTGCTTTCAGATTTACAATATAAATATTTAACAAAAAATGAAATTTCTATTTTAAAAATTAATATTTAGCGAATTGTTATTATTATACACAAACCACTCAAAATCCAAATGAGTAATTAAGAAATAAATTATGAAAATGAATACATTTCATTTCATAATAGACATTACAAACATTTAACACAATCTTTAATAGATTTAAGACTCAGACGATATATTATCAAGATATTATACTATTTAACAGTCGACAACAGAAGATATCTTAGCAACTTTGCATCCCTTCAAACTACCGGTAGTTGCATATCATTCACTTATCACAGTTGTGTATTTTCATTAGCTGAGACAGTCTTGCATTCATTCACTTAACTATGACGCCATACGACGTACATGTAGGTTCTACGTTAAGGTAAGACAACTATGACACAGTCGAAAAACACTTGAATTTGATTTGTTTTTTGTGTTAAATTTGAAGAAAATATTTTAAACAGGTTCTTGAAGATGCACATGTATATAGTACAGAACAGAAAAATTCCCACCAAAATGTTTCAGCATTTGACATTTTATTAAAATATCCTAGTTTTACACTGAGCTAAACACAAACAATGATGTGGAATCAAGGTCAAATTTAGAAACTTATACTAAAAGTTGAGTATCTTTCACGAATATGTAGATGAAATTTAAATAAATTGTTAACTTGAAAAGAACTCTTGGAAGATCAATTCAGAAACAATATTAGTCACAAAATAGTTGTTAATTTAAGGATATCATGTTTTAAACTGGGGAACGCAGATAATACAAGAATGTAGTATACAAAGTTTGTAACAAAGTGTCTCCATAAATCAAAGGTTTTAACAGTGCTTTAATCTGTAGCTCTCTGATTATTCTGTCTGGATTTCCTAAATCAGAACAGTGCAACTATGAAGTTATCAGACGAAAGGACGGAAAATGGAAATCAAAGATACTATATGTCCTGGCCTTATGTTGAGTAACAAAAATGTTACCCGCGTGGCACAGTGGTTAGAGCATCTGCTCAAGAATCGCAGATTAACTGATCTTTACTTCGCGGGTTCGAATCCCACTGTAGGACATGGAGACCGGTCTTTCAGATGAGAGCGTATAAACCGAGGTCCAATGTCGCAGTAGATGTTGTCTCGAAAAGGATCCCACACTGCTCAATGGCCCCGAGTGCCGAGTGTAGATATAAATTCGCAGCCTTCCACCGGCAGGTGGTGTTGTCTCCAAATGATTCCAAAAATTCTCAAGAGGGACAGTAAACAACGTTAACAAACTAAAATGTACCATTTGAAAGTATGACACATAGTAAATTTTATGAAATGGGACTTCGAACACACTCAACAATGACTTTCCTGCAGCAGATTAGACAAAAGCATTGGATTACATGTACTTAATCCCAAACATTACTTTATACGGTATACTCAACAGACAAACTGCAGAAAGTACCTTCTTCTTTTCTCTTGAACCATACACTGCAGCATAACCTCTTTCCTTTTTCCCTTCCTCTTCAAACGCTTCCTCTTCAGAGCCATCCCAATCGACTTCTTCCTCCTCCTGTTAAATAAAGAAGAGGGTAATACATGTCTTGACCACTACCTGTCTGTTTATGATTAATATTCCTTATTTACAAATTCCTTTATAACCTACTGTACTCATATTACAATAAAGTTCCTACCCCCAAAATATCATATAACTTATTACATTATTAGGCTTTCCCCTTTCACATTGGCTTTGGTTTTAATAAACGTATCTATCACATCAAGTACAAAGATTCATGATCACCTATTGAGTATTGTGGCCTTATCCATAAGGTCCATGAGTTGAAAAAAAAATTAATCTATTCTACCAATATAAAACATCATTTGCCCTTTTTTCAGAAATATGACTGGAAAGAAATTTTCCTTTTTTCTAAGGCATTCATCAAACATGCAGGAATTAATACTAAGTCTGTCCTAACGTCCTTTACCAGTTGAAATGGACATAGAAATATTATGGACACTTGCCAACTAATTTTCTGTGAAGAAAATATTTCAGCAAGAACATTGGCCAAAGGACATGAATGTTTAAATCTGGGTTCATTAGTTATGCAACATGAAAGATTGTAAAATAGTATTAGATTGGATGAAAATATCTTAAATAATTCTTCTAACACGGGGTTTTATACAAAATAAATAATACAGTCAAAGGTCTTTGGAAAGGTCAAGGAAAAAAATATAGACATAGTTGATAAATTCTCTCTAATTATAATTCAGTGCATTAGCTTACACAAACATAGGTAATCAGAGATTACAGAGCTCACATTAACGAATATTCTTTAAGTAAGGCAAAGTCCAACATTAAACTAATAATCTAGTAGAAAAAAGTACATCGTCGCCTGTTCAGCATAGTGGTAAGAGCTCTGCTTTAGAGTCGCGGAGTAAGGAGTCGATCCTTACGTCGCAGGCTCAAATCCCACTGTGGGTCCCGTGTCGAAGTAGGTGCTGGCACGAAAAAGATTCCGCACTGATCAATGGCCCTGAGTGCCGAGTATAGGTCAAAGTTTGTTGCTCTTCACTGGCAAGTGGTGACATTTCCATATCAGTGAAAAATTTTCGAGAGGGACGTTATTAAAAAAAACATACAAACCAAGACTAGTGTATATCACAAAATGCAACATTTATGCAATTTTGATGTAATAGGGCTTGCAGTTACTTGGGACTGAACTTATCCAAAACCTAGCATCTCATCCAGAAAATGTTATTCAAATCCAGCATCTAAAGAAAGTTTAAGAGTGTATATCCCTTGACCTATCATCTCTGCATGTGATTCCTATTGAAAATAAAACCTTCAAACCAAGTTCTCTAAGTCAATCAGATCAAAGTATGGGATTTGCTCAAATATTTTCGATTTGAACTTCAAGAGTAGCTAGTAACCGAGGAAGTTCAGTATTTTAGGTCTAAACTAGTGATTATCATGTGGTGTTAACACTATATAAATATAATTCCAAAACAGATCTATCTAAGTGGTAGATCAAAATGTTTATTTTACACAACGTTTTATGCTTTATGTCGATAATAAGTCCTGTAACAAAATGTTTACAAATTCTCCGGGAAGAATATATTTCTAAAAATATTTGTTCGAACAGACGAGTAGAAATAAGTTAATGCTAATTACCATTTCATTCATATTTTGAAGCAAAAAGTATCTACATCATAACTGGATGTTACAACTAGTATCTTCTCTGAAGCTGTTGTTCTTGAGAAGATATTCTTAATGGCCCATCCTATTTTAAGCTTTAAACTTTTCTTGTCTGTCCTCTTCTTTGACAAGGCATCAACAAGTCAACAATACTTTCTTTCACATTTGTTTAAAATATGAATTGAATGTTTGTTAGAATTCACATTAATGGAATAAAATAATTTATTACTGAAATACTAACAGTCTGAATACTGGCTCCATGTTCAAGGGCTTTTAACACAAAATCCCGGCGGTCTTCTACAGAGGGCTTTTCAGGCCGAGATGGAATTTTTTTTAAAGCTTGTCCTCTAATTATGGACTGCAATAAAGTTTGTCGGTCTCCTCCCCCTCCCCCTCTGTCCCTCCCTTTGCCTCCTCTCATCATCGGTGGTGGTGGTGGAGCTCTCAGAGATTGAGGTGGTATACCAGATACACTAACAGATGATGAATCGTGAGTTATTATATTCTTTATAAGTGGTGGTGGTCTTTTTTCCTGAAATTTTAATTTTGTTTATTCATAGTTATATAAAAGCAAAAATCGCTTGTTGACCTATCTACGTTAATTTAGCAAACTTCAATCTGCACTCTGTGTTTCTATATTTCTCTGATTTGAACAAGAATCAAGGACGTTATATTGCAATTGTTATACTCACTACAATTACAGATTCAAATGTTCATTTACAGTTGTTACAGATTCAAATGCACATTCTTTTTTTTTACTGAATTATACATTTGCCAATTTGTTGTTTTTTTTAGTAACTCTAAAGGGGTTATCCCCCAGAAGCTCGTAATACTCTCCGACAAAAAAAAAAAAAAAAATAATAAGAAAATTCGGAAATATTGTCCTTCATTAATTTTTGGGGTCTTACTGATTAAAGTCATTAATTAACCATGATATAATGAGGTCAAATGTCAGAAAACAATCAGGAAGTTCTTGTAACAAAATTATATATACGAAATCTTTTCTCATATAAAAGTTATAACCAAGGTTAATTTTTTACAGGAAAAATAGATCCTTGAATTTTTAACTTCTTGCACTTTCATAAAACCTCAAGACAATAATTCCATGGGTTTTTCAATCACAGAAAGGGAGAAAGAGAGGCTAAGCGTAAAAACATAAGAAAACAATCAGGAAGTTCTTGTAACAAAATTATAAATACGATATCTTTTCTCATATAAAAGTTTTAACCAAGGTTAATTTTTTACAGGAAAAATAGATCCTTGAATTTTTAACTTCTCGCACTTTCATAAAACCTCAAGACAATAATTCCATGAGTTTTTCAATCACAGAAAGGGAGAAAGAGAGGCTAAGCGTAAAAACATAAGATGTGTCAGACGAAACAAGATGTGTTTGTGAAACACTGATGCCCCCGTATGGCAACTTATAGCTAAGGTTAAACATTGACGTTCTGTCTTGGACTATTTCACTATGTCTTGAATCAAACATGACAAAACAAGATGTGTTTGTGAAACACTGATGCCCCCGTATGACAGTTTATGGCGAAGGTTAAAGTTTCTCAAATGCAAGTCAAAATACAGGCCAAAAGATAAAAAAAAATGTTGGTACCCAAAGTAAGGTCTTGTCTTGAGGAATATACCTGTGAAATATGAAAGCCCTAGTAGCAACCATTGAATAGATATAGAAAAGGTTAAAGTATTTCAAAAGCAAGTCAAACATCAAGGTCAAGGTCGAAATTAATGGTGCCTAAGGAAAGGCCTTCTAACAAGAAATATACAGGTGTAATATGAAACATGAAGCACCAATCATTCAACAGTTATGACCAAGGTTTAAGTTTTTCAAAAGTAGGTCAAACTCCAAGGTCAAGGTCAAAGGCTAAAAGTTGTTGGTATCCAAAGGAAGGACTTGTCACAAGGATTACACATGTGATATAGGAAGAAAGCCCTAGCACCAATTGTTCAAAAGTTATGGCCAATGTTAAAGTTGGATAAAATTTTGCAAAACTAGGTCAAACTCCAAGGTCAAGGTCAAAAGGTCAAACACGGTGCTACTCAAAGAAAGGTCTTGTCACAAGGAATACACATGTGAGATATGAAAGCCAAAGCTCCAACCAATCAAAAGTTATGGGCAATGTTAAAGTTTTTACGGACAAACAGACAGACAGACAGCTAGACGGACGGACAAGGCAAAAACTATACATCCCCGAATCTTCGATACGGGGTCATAAAAATGTTCACAAGGATAGGAATATGGTTAAACTTGCAAAATAGAACAAGGGATGCTTCTCTCTCTAGCTCCACAAGCCAAACTTAGAAAATTGAGAAGAAACTAAGCAAGGGTCCTGCTAAGGGTTGTGCATTTATGGTGGTATTAATGGGAGAGTATATAAATTGATTTAAAAAATGTAGAAGGAAATTCAAAATATATGAAGAAGAATTCAAACAAGTACTTTATTTTAAAAATGATATATAATAAGTGTAGAAGACATTTCCAATGCTATCATTTAAAACAGAATAATATTATGGTTTTAATACCCACTTGAAAAACAAAAAATATGGGCTATCTATAATATATTTTCCTCAGGCAATTATAAAAATATGTGTTGATTAAATGTGTATACATGTATAAGGATATCCGACCCTCAGCCAGGAATGATAACTCATGAAATTGTTTTTCATTTAAAAAGGCTCAAAATGAAACTTGAAATCGAATTTTTTTTCATGCAACAATTTTTATTTCATGCATCTCAATATGATTCAAGGTTCATTGAAGTCTTAGAAACGGACTTGTAAAAAATTGACATTTGTATCCCATAAACTAAAAAAAATAATTATGTATTTAGAGAAATCGAATTTCTTTAATCTAGCCTTAGATGCCAATGTTTATTGGCATGATATGAAATTAAAAGTGATCTGTGATGTCTTGCAATGAAAGCGTAAGTTTTTTTTTTACACTTTGTATTATATATAACTAAAGTAAATAAAACTAAAATACCGTGCAAGTATAAAAACATGAAATTTTCTCCAAATGCCTGAATACCTATAGTTTTTTTTAAATCCTAAAATATATTTGTTGATCAATTTTCGATTAGAAAATGCATAGCGGGTGCTTTTATTCACGTTTCCTGAAAATAAATTTTGAGATTTGATAATTTTGTCTATTTGATACGACTAATTCTAATGATGAAGAAATACCGTGGGCAAATACACCTTACTTTGAAAATTTAGAGATTTTTGTGAGCATTTTCAATTGCAGAACTCCTAATTTTCAGAAACTGAGAATCAGACATCTTAAACCAGAATAAAGGATGCATTTTATAACATGTCAGACACCAACAAATCTCTTTCAGACAGAGGATATGTTAAATTGTCTTAATGAGACGGATAAATTTAAGGCTTTGTATCTTCTGCAACAGGCACAATAATAAATCCTACGGGACTAAAGACTGAAATAAATAAGACACTGATTAAAAATTAAATATATAACGAAGGGTGAAATAACTACTGCAAAATGTATCTTATTTGAATAATATCACATATGCAAGATAGAGCGTTGTAGTTGATTGAGTGGCAGATGCATTCCGCCTAAGACACTAAATAGAATACACAGGCAAATTTATTGCTTTTATGGTATATTTTGTTTCATAAAAAATATAATAAAATTCAATACTTACTTCTCTGGGTGGTGCTTTTTTCTTTGGCAATTCATCTGAAAGGGAAAAATAGTTAACTAAATACACCTTAAAATTCAATTATAATAATCATTAGAAAAATTCAGAGCTGACCAGAGTATGCAATAGATAGTACTTGACCCACCGTCATCAAAAAGATTCATCCACTGGTCTTCAAGTTCTTCCTCTTCTTCAGATTCTAGAACAAAATAATCAGAATAATGTGTATATTTGTTCTGAACTGAGAAAGTTTTTTTAATAAACGTGCGGGTATGTTAAGGCTACACCCAGAGATATTCTACTAGTCTCTACAATATGACGTCATAGTAAGCTGTATGACGTGAAGTTTAGAAATAATGATTTCTTAATATTTATATTTAAAGTTTAATTTAAGGTCCAAGAAATGAATTGAATCATTCAAAAACATAATATAAAACAAATATTGTCGTTTTGGTTGGTATAAATAGCTAAGTATTTATCACGGGGGATAAATACCAAACCCATGACGTCATAACTATTGATCAAATATTTGCCGAGTGAAAATTAAACGTGAGGAGAATTCATGTAAACAAATATATAAAATGGGAGATTTAAAGCATTTACCATGAATGTTATGTGTGATTCATAAAGAATTAAAGATTAAGAATCAGGTACGCTGATATATTCTTATCAGGTTTTCTTATAATGAACACAGGCAGTGCTTTGAAATCCCGATCAGCTTTTCTCTCTGTTTTCTATAACAACAAAGTTGCAAAAGTTCAACACTAAGCCGCATACTTTGAGACAAAATTTTTGCTTGTATCAAAAGCTTGTATTCTATAGTACTTGGAAAGTGCTGCTAGAATCTTGTGATTAACATGAATTGATGACAATTCCTTGATCGTTCGTACAAAATGTAATAATTTTGGTAAGGTTTCATGCCAAACTTTGGAACAATTTTTTCTGTGTCGGGAGAGTAGAATTCTAGCAGCACTTTTCATGACTCAGTGATGTTTTTACATAATTATTTTCACAAATAGAAATGAATTATCTCCGGGTGTGTTGAACTTTTCACTTTTTCATTAAGCATTTTTTTTCTATTTATAGACGTCACGTGATGACGTCATAGTGGAGTGCTTCTTTTAGCCTAAGGCTCAATGAGGTCTATACAATGGATAATAATAGTAAATGTTTAATCCATGGCTTTTATGATTTATCAATGTTACATTTTACGAAAAAAGTTTAAATTCGCCGAAATATGATCTTGATACTGTCTTAACATACCTGCGCGATCTTATGAGATCTAGTTATCCATAGTTACCACACAAACACAAAAAAAGAGCACTGCAGGTTCTTTCTAATTTTTTCTTTTATAAAAAGATTGTTGACGCCATAAAAAACTTTTTTTATGAAAAGAATGAGTGCACTTTAGAGCGTCATTTGGAACCTTTTCGGCCACCCATTTTAAGCCTTGAATTAGACTATATCGCTAAGTTAATCTATGATTATTGTGCATACATATGCTTTTGATATTTTTACTTCGAATTTTTTGTTTAGTATATTTCTATAATTTCACACGACGTCATTGAAAAGAACATGTATAGGCCTTAAATTCCGGAAATTTGAACGGACCACTTTCGAATTTAAGGTACCCGCAAATGGGCGGAGATATTTAAATCGCATGGAAGTGGATACATAACGTAAACATTTGCACTTTATTTCAAGATTGATTCCACAGTATGAATTTAAATGGAGGAGAGAGAGATTGTGTAGTTGTATGATTCACACAAATAATAAATGATTCATGACCAATCATATTGATAATTTTTATGATCCGTATCCATATGTTTGCTGCCTAGCACCGAATCAGCTCAATATCTTGTTTTCGTATATATCTGTATAAAAAATGCCCCCCCCCCCCCCCTTAATGTATGTTTTAGGAAAGATTCACATTTACATGACTTCGATGTCACACTACATTTAATCGTAATTCACTGTACATGTTGTATGTAGTAATACAAACATGTGTAGTGAAACAATTACAGTATTACATGTATGTAGTACTCAGTGATACATATTTTATTATATGCATGGTCAAAGAAAATAACATTTGGAAATGAAATATAAAGTTTTAACTGAAAATTTGAGTTGCTAGGTTAACATGAAAATTCCAAGAAATACAAACTATCTGTGAAGATTATGCACTTCATGTTATGCTATTGATGATGAATTTCATTTCTTTTTACATTCTTATGTCATTGTAATATACAAGCAAGGAATATACTTATAAAAGCCATGCTAGATAATTATTGTTCCTCATTCTATTTCGAATCACCCATACAGAAACATAAATATATATACTTAGTCCAACTCGTGAAGTTATACTGACTGTTTGCACTTTTATAAAACAATCATTAGAATTAAGAAATAAAAGGTCCACATCGGTGTAACATATATTGAGTAAATTACTTAAATTGAGCCTATCGTTATTATATATTATTCATTGTTCTCTGTTTTTTTTTTTTTTAAATTTTGCAATAAAGAAATTATAAATGTAATTTGAATTAACATTTTATTGACGGAACACGTGTATTTGATATTAAAAAACATGGTCAAAGAAAATTCTACAACGTTACTATGTCGATAATCACTCCCAAATGTCTTCAATATCTGTTTCATTTCGGCAATCTAAATATTGTCACGTATGATACTAGTGTTTAGGGATGTGTCTGTAGATGCTTGCAGACCATAATACAGAGGCGACATGAGCTAGCACAGCTACATGTACCTACTAATTGTGCACCTGATTTGCACTGGCAATACTAGAATTTCTTTCAAAATTCCAAACGAAAAACACAATTTAGTGAAAGAAGATGAGGTAAACTTTAAGACCTAAATAAAATTTTCGCAAAATTCTTCAATATTTTGAAGTTGCTCAGGCCGGTAATACAAGTATTATATTTATATTATTATACTTCCCTGTACACACGCTTTTACATGTCTTATTAAATTGTTAATAGACTTTAGGTATTTCTACGTGTTTCTCTCTCTCTCTCTCTCTCTCTGCACTGCATTAAAACTGAAAAGACCACCATTATTGAAACAGCGGCGGAACACTCGTACGTGTACTTGGATCGCTAGATGCATCACTAGATGAGGTGCAAAGAGAAGGTCCCAGAAGTTATGAAAACTTCTTTAGAATAGATAATGCAGCATTTGAGCAACTTTTACAACATTTAATCACATGTAGTTACTCCTTTTGATCTCCTTCCCATAAAACATATGTTTACTGCTAAAGTCGACCATTATTTACCATGTGCTTTTTTTTTGTTATGATAAAAATAGGATGACCCCAATGTGAGTACTTCTGATTTTACTAAAAATGAAAGGTAAGTTAAGACTTGTATAAGAAATAGAGCATTGCCCTTTTCTTAATAGTTTTATAAGATTCGAAAAATCTTATGATTAACTGTATTAAAAGTCTATCCATAGTAAGATTTTGTACTTAAATACATATTCGTGTGTACAGCCATGAAGTCGATTGACAGACACAATGAAAGCATATCGAACAGTGGAATGTCACGTGAGTAAAGTGATTATAATATCAAACGGGTCAAAGTAGGTTGACACTCGGTGACCTGTTAATTTAGTACCTAACTCGACTGACGTTTGGAGATTTTCAAAATTACATATGACCCGCAAATTGTCCAACATTGCCCTTTGGATATGTATAAGTTTAGATCATAATACACATTCTGTGCAAATGAGACGAATGGACAAGTTGCGGTTCGATGTAAACAAAGTCGTTGAAAACTGGTATGCATATGAATAACAATAGAAATGTGACAAAACTGCTATACCCCGTCGCAAAAACCAGTGTCTTTCGGCATTATTTAATATTTCCATGTGATATAATATATCAAATCCTGCTCTTAAGATATTGTTTAATAATACTGATTCAAAAAGTTTATAAATTTCGGAAATTTATTTTTGGCAAAGCATCGGGACCCAACTCTTATAGCTTAAGTGCACTGATCCTTTGTGATCAATAAAATTGTGCATTTCTTAAAAAAAAAAGAAAAAAAAAGAAAAAAAGAACTGAGCGTAGGATTAGAATCCCCCCACCTCCTTTTCCACTCATTGTTACACAGTCTAAATTTAAAACAAAAGAAAAAAACAAATTTATATAATAAGCCCAGTCTAAATTTAAAACAAAAGAAAAAACAAATTAATATAATAAGACCTTTGCTGCATCAACAGAGGGTCTGGTTCTTCATTTGTTCAAACTGAATCAACTATATGAAGCGATGCTACATATGACAATTTTAATTAAATTTGGTCGATTTGTTCTACATAGGAAGGTAAAAACGTTAAATAAGACTTAATACACTGTTTGTGATTTAAAAAAAATATATAGTAAGAGTCGAAAATTTTATCCTGAAGTCTGAGTAAGATTACAGATTGACTGTTCATTTTAAAAGAACAAAACCTTAAGTACTTCGAAGTGATGACCTTGAGATGTATGTGCAATCTTCTACTTGATATATTTTAAATCTGTGGAGAGGGAACACAATTTGGGACAGCTATATACTTCTTGTTACATCCCTGAATCAATATATACAGCATTTCTTTATCTCGAACTTCTTAGTGACGTGATATTCTAAATGCGATAAATTGTGGAACGTTTTCTAGATTCACCAGTAGTTCCTATGTTTACATGTATACAAGACTTGATAGATTTACAACAATTGTCTTTCATACTTTTCAAGAAATTTTGACAAAATGCTCAGGGGCCTAGCTGTAGATCTGTAGCTTGCTGGTCTGAAAAAAAAATTACGATGGACGGCCAGAGAGCTACAGTGACACCCAATGAAAAAAGCGTATATTTATTGCACACAAAAAGGTGCGCTGTTTCTCGATTATTTTTCACCGTATATTTCAGAATATTTTTACTATCCGTGTGTTTCTAAGATATTTTTTTCCTATTTTCTGATTTTCACAACAAAACTGCAGGTACAAGCCATGCACGAGGCGCATAGGACCGAATTATCTTGCCACCTAAGATGGCAGTTTAAATAGACAAAATTTTAAATGGTCTCAATTTCAGGCTTAAAACTACGGTCTGGGGAAATGTTTTGTTGTGAAAGTAGTAAAAAATATACTAGGGACACATGGTTAGTAAAATTTTGAGATTAACGGAGAAAAACATTGCAAAACAGCGCACTTTTTTGTGCGCTATAAATATACACTTTTTTCAATGGATGGCACTGTAGCTCTCTGGCCGTCCATCGTAATTTTTTCAGACCAGTGAGCTACAGATCTGCAGCTACTCACGGGCCTTGATGGGCACCTGAGTGCATGTAGCATGATTTTCTCAGCCTAGACTACTGCTCAGGATAAGACCAAAGCTTATTTTAAGACAACTGCTCAGGTTAAGAGAACTGTTCATTTTAAGACAACTGCTCAGGTGATTTCTCATTTTAAGACAACTGCTCAAGTGAAGAGAACTGCTCATTCTAAGACAACTGCTCAAGTGAAGAGAACTGCTCAGATTAAGACTTTTCCTTCCTCACCTCTGTGTCCTCTAACTGATGGTGATGGTGGAGCCCTCCCAGTCCAAGGTGGTATACTGGGAGGTGGTGGAGGTGGCTCTCTCCCCTGAAATTTAAATTTTATTTATTCATAATTATGTGAAAGCAAAAATCGTCTGCTAATGTATCTGTGAATCTACTCCTCAATGAAACAGTAAGACAATTCAACTAAGTTGGGATGTTTCAGACTTAATCTTGGTTTAACTTATAATTGTTTACAATTTAAATCACCTTAAAATAAATATTAAATAATCAATTATCAATCTGATTATCTATTTTTTTTCTTTCAAAATGTCCGAAATGAGTTGTAAACATTTTTTTAACAATATTAGTATGAATTGATACAGGTCTTTTATCATCGACCACCGATATTTAAAATCCTTTAAATATTGTATCTAAATGCGTATGACATTACAGCTTTAAGATAAAATGAAGAAAATATCATTTCCAAATTGTGCCAAAAAATGAATAATTTTGGTTACTTAAAGGTAATTCATTAAATATGTAAAAAGTTCTTGTATTTTTTTTCTGGGACAACCGTTGTATTTAACAAAACATAGATCATAATCTCTCACACTTTTAAAATTTACTATAAATAACCGCTGATACTACCACTGAGCAGCAGTTAGGTTGAATTGAGAAAAGATTTTATATTGCACACAAGTCAACATTCACATTTACTAAAACAAAAACGTAAAATACAAAGCTTTTTTTAATTTATATTTCTTCTCACATTACTGCAATATAGACGCTTTCAAAAAAGTTAGAATTACAAGAGGCCCAAGGGCCTTAACAGACACCTGAGTACAATACAACAATTTAGAGGATCCATAAACTGAAAAATGAAGCTTTGTTGCCCAAAAGCAAGAAAAATACATGTAGTATGATTAGCATCAACAAAATAATTGGTCTAGTATCTATCTGCCTATCTGACTTTCCAAATCATTAAATCTATGAAAGTACTTTTTCATTATACAATAAATTATAATTCTCTTATTCTACTAAGCTTTCAAATACATTATTTACATTGATTAATTATCAAAGGTGAACGGCAAAGGGGAATAACTTTGCTCAGCAGAATACAAGTTAATAGAGCCTTGGCCAGGACTAGAACACTTGATGAAATGGTCCAGGTGTTCAAAATTCTGGTAAAAATACCCTTGCATATTAAAACTTTTACTCTGTTTGCCTTGAACATCCCCAGAAGCATAGAAGATTTTCAAAGAAATGCATTTTCACCGTATTATTAAATAAATAAAGCCCCATCCTTACCCAGAACAACTGACCCATTGGCCACGAACTCACAATTCTGGAAGAAGCACCCTTTCTCATTATAACTATACACTTGTTTCTTTACTTTATAACCAGTAGTAGAAAAAATATTTTGAAAGAAATTATGCATTTTCACTATATATAATCAATAGAGCTCTTTCTCCCTCACCAGAACCCCTGACCCAAGGGCCATGAGGCATTCTTCCTTATCATAACCATTCACTTCCTTTGTTTGAAAAATACCCAGGCGCACAGAAGATTTTGAAAGAATTCATGCCTATTCCCTATATAATCAATAGAGCCCCGCCCTAACACCAGAACCCCTGACCCAGAGGCCATTAAATTCATAATTTCTGAGGCAGCCATGCTCATCATAACTATGTACTTAGTTTATTTAATATCCAGGAGCAGAGAAGATTTTCAAAGAATTAATGCAATTTTACTATATAATCAATGGAGCCCATCCCTAACACCAGAACCCCTGACCCAAGGGCCATGAAACAATTTCTGAAAAGGCAGTCATGCTCACCATAACTATGTTCTTAGTTTATTTAATACCCAGGAGCAGAAAAAAAGATTCTCAAAGAATTAATGCAATTCTACTATATAATCAATAGAGCCCTGCCCTAACACCAGAACCCCTGACCCAGGGGCCATGAAATTCACAATTTTGGAAGAGGCACTCTTGCTCATCATAACTATGTACTAAGTTACTTTATTTAATGCCCAGGAGCAGAGAAGATTTTCAAAGAATTAATGCATTTTAACTATATAATCAATAGAGCCCCACCCTAACACCAGAACCCCTGATCCTGGGGCCATGAAATTCACAATTTTGAAAGAGGCACCCTTGTTCTTCATAACTATGTACTTAATACCCAGGAGCAGAGAAAATTATTGCAATTCTACTATATAATCAATAGAGCCCCGCCCTAACACCAGAACCCCTGACCCTGGGGCCATGAAATTCAAAATTTTGAAAGAAGTACTCTTGCTCATCATAACTATATACTAAGTTAGTTTATCTAATATCCAGGAGCAGAGAAGAAGATTTTCAAAGAATTAATGCCTTTTCACTATATAATCAATAGAGCCCCGCCCTAACACCAGAACTCCTGACCCTGGGGCCATGAAATTCATAATTTCAGAAGAGGCACTCTTGCTCATCATAACTATGTACTAACTTAGTTCATTTAATATCCAGGAGCAGAGAAGAAGATTTTCAAAGAATTAATAACATTTTCACTATACAATCAATAGAGCCCCGCCCTAACACAAGAACCCCTGATCCTCGGGACATGAAATTCACAAATTTGGAAGAGGCACTCTTGCTCATCATAACTAAGTACTAAGTTACTTTATTTAATACCCAGGAGCAGAAAAAAAGATTTTCAAAGAATTAATGCATCTTCACTATATAATCAATAGAGCCCCGCCCTAACACCAGAACCCTTGACCCTGAGGCCATGAAATTCACAATTTTGGAAGAGGCAATCTTGCTCATCATAACTAAGTACTAAATTAGTTCATTTAATAACCAGGAGCAGATAAGAAGATTGTCAAAGAATTAATGCCTTTTCACTATATAATCAATAGAGCCCTGCCCTAACACCAGAACCCCTGACCCTGGGGCCATGAAATTCACAATTTTGGAAGAGGCACTCTTGCTCATCATAACTATGTACTAAAATAGTTCATTTAATACCCAGGAGCAGAGAAGAAGATTTTCAAAGAATTAATAACATTTTCACTATACTATCAATAGAGCCCTGCCGTAACACCAGAACCCCTGACCCTGGGGCCACGAAATTCACAATTTTGGAAGAGGCACTCTTGCTCATCATAACTATGTACTAAGTTACTTTATTTAATACCCAGGAGCAGAGAAGAAGATTTTCAAAGAATTAAAAACTTTTCTCTATATAATCAATAGAGCACCGCCCTAACACCAGAACCCCTGACCCAGGGGCCATGAATATCACAATTTTGAAAGAGGCACTCTTGTTCTTCATAACTATGTACTTAGTTACTTTATTTAATACCCAGGAGCAGAGAAGAAGATTTTCAAAGAAATAATGCACTTTCACTATATGATCTATATAGCCCCACCCTAGCACCAGAACCCCTGACCCTGGGGCCATGAATTTCACAATTTTGGTAGAGGACTCAATGCTTATTACAATCAAGCCAACAGTTTGACTGCTTGATGTCCAGGAGTAAAGAAGAAGATTTTTAAAGATTGCATTATTTTTGGTGGTTTTAGCCCCACCCCTCAGGCCCCAGGGGGGCAGGGACCATGGAATTCAAAATTTTTGCTCCCCTTCACCCATAGATGCTATATGCCAATTTGGTTGAAATTGGTTAAGCGGTTTCAGAGAAGAAGCTAAAAATGTTCAAATGTTAACACACGACGCACGACGCACATCGCACGCCGACGGACGAGAACGGATAGCAATAGGTCACCTGAGTGACTCAGGTGACCTAATAACAACAAATATTTAATTCAAGGTAGCAAATGCCACATATTCCGATTACACACTTTAAAGGTTGAAATATCTGCTTGGTAGAACAAAAAATCTCTTTGAGACAGAGGTGTTCATTCAAAACCTTAATATGACAGATAAAAATGTTTTCAGGAAAGTTACCCCTGTTTATCAAATCATTCTTACATAGGATTATACCTCTTCACCCCAGCTCTTAACCAGATGACACACAGAATCAAGAAGAATGTTAGGATGATAGAAGTTCATATCAAAACATGTCTTACTCTCTTTCAAAACAACACATATCTAAATATAATAGGATAATCCTTTAAAAAGTTTAGAAAAAGCAGATAATTTGCCGAGAGACTGTATCTCCCTCTTATTTCCATATTATACATTCAAACATGCTGTATAAGTTCTCATAACCAGCTGCAGTGTATATTAATAAACAGTGTCCAATTTATAATTGAGAAAACTTTCACATGAGGATAACGTAAATGTATTATATTTAGTTTGAAAAATATTTGGAGAAAATTATTTTATCAGAAAGTTAGTGTATATTTAATCGAGGGCATGTACATGTATTCAAATATAAGATATAGCATTGTAGTTGATTTAGCTGCACCTGATTCTGCCAAAAACACTGAATAGAATACACAGCCTAATGTATTTACTGTTCAGTATATTTTGTTTCATAACTTAGTACTTACTTCTCTAGGTGGTGCTTTTTTCTTTGGCAATTCAACTGGAGAGAAAAAAAAATAGTTCACTACAAGAAATTCAACTTTTGGAATATTTCTATCAAATTTCATTTCTTTAGAAAATTTTAAAACTTACAAAATGTATCACAATATGCAAAAGATACGTACTTGACACATCGTCATCAAAAAGACCAAAACACATGTCTTCGTCCTCTTCTTTAGATTCTAGATCAGAATAATGTGTATAATACTAGCATTTGTCTTGAGCTGAGCAAATGAAGAAAAATGAACTTACTTAACGATCTTATGAGATCTAGTTATCCTTTGTTGTCACACAAAAGAGTACTGCAGGTTCTATTTTAATCTTTTATCCTTATCAAATGATTTTTGATGCCCCCGTCCCCGACCCCAAAGAAAAATTATGAAATTTTTTATGATCAATAAAATTGTGTATTTCTTAAAATCCAAATAAGAACTGAAAGTATAACTAGAAATACCCCCCCCCCCTTTTTTTTCACTCACTGTTATACGTAGTCTAAATTTTAAGCAAAAGAAAAACACATTAATATAATAAGACCCATGCTGCCTTCCAAAGAGGGTCTGGCTCTTCGTTTGTTCAAACTCATTCAACTCTACAAAACGATGCTAATCATGAAAAGTTTGATTGATATTGGTCAATTTGTTCTACAGAAGAAGATGAAAATGATATACAAGACTCAGTAAACTGTTTGTGCTTTTAAAAAAATTGCATGTATTGGCAAAAAAGGTAGAAAGAATTGAGGATTTTATCATGAAGACTGAATACGATTACATATTAGCTGTTCAATTTAAAAGAACAAAACCTTGTGGACTTCGAAGTGATGACCTTGAGATGTATGTACAGTCATCTACTTAATACTATTATGAAATATGTGGATATACTGTAGGGCACAAAAGAACAAGGTAGTTTCAATACAAATATGGCCCTGAATTTTTCTAAAATATGAAAGTGATCTAAGAAATTAAAATTCATGCTTTCTGATTCGTTAAAATTTCATGCAATAAGATCCAAGAAATTGTTTCTTCTCATACGATATCCTAAATCCTAATTTTGGCATCACAAACTTATGCATTTTCACGTATTTTCTTACAGCAGAAAAAATCAATGTTCAGTGAAATTTCTTACAGATAATATAGACCATATGCATTGCACACAAAGATTTTGAGAAGTATGGTTCTTCAAGGAATTGTACTCATTTTCAATATTGAAGTGGCCGACAGCTGTTGACACTATTTTCTCAAGGAAAATCCCCCCGAAACAAGTCATTTTGAAGCTTTTTCTCCTTAAAACTTAGAAATTTACTATATTAATGATGTCATATTTTCAGAATGATCCTCCTTCATGAATTATCACACTCATATACTCAACTCATAATTAAGCTAACTTCAAAACTTTTTGAAAACATTAAAATTTTAGGGCATAATAAAACCAGGACCATACCTACTTCTTTGGGACAGTTTAATACATCTTGTTACATCCCTGAATCACACTATATACAGCCTTTCTTTATCTTGAACTTCTTAGTGACAACATATAATTATCAGTAGAATAGATATTTTCATGTACTTCACACATGTACAGTTTTACCACGGTGAATTAAATTTGAGTCATCGTTTATATTCTACCAACATGATAAGGATGTCACACAAAAAAAATTTAAAAGAATGTTATTGGGACCTTGCATTCTGCTTCATATTCATAGATATTCCTTATACATGTACTATCATAGGGAAAATAGTCAACCATACAAACCTTTTATTTTCAGAGTTCCGCAAATAAAAACTAGAACTGTCCAAAAGGGACAAATACGCCCCGCTGGGTTTTTCAGAGGTGCCAAATCACTAATATTTTATGGATCTAATAGGTGTTCACAATTTTCTTATAAACATTTAGAGTTAAAAAAATAATTGCTCATTATATTTTTTTAATGAATGAAACCAAGGAACAACCTTATAAAAGATCAATACCAATACATTGTAATTAGTGTAACATTGTTTTTTTTAATACATTGAAAAAATAAATTGCAACTATCTGCCATCTTTTTGAGACACGACACTCTGCAAATTGATTGTTGAAAAAAAATCAATTAATTACAAAATGAAATTAATCTTGATAACCTTATACCAAATTCATTTTAAAAATAAAAGGCTGGTCATCCAGTAACTATGTACTATGACAGACAATAAATTACAATTAAGAGAAAGAACAGAGATATACCACCTGCTTGATCAGAGATGCCCTAACAACTTCCCACACTGAACTCATTAATTTATCTTTAACTGGATGATGTCCACTCATTACTCCCAAGGGACAAATGGATTTACACTATCTGCTGTGTAATGTAAAAAATGTTTTTTATACTTAGTGATTTTTTGTTTTGTTTTAATGAATAGTTTTAAGCTGTAGTTCACTTTTTTGTACAGATGTTCTAGATTCTATGTCTCAAACCTTAGAAATAAACCCAAAATGACTAAGTCAATAGAAATGATAAAACCCTGTAAAATGCAGAAAAATTATCAAATAATGTTGAAAATACCAGGTGCACATCTTCATACGGTAAATAATGTGTATACAAATTTTCATACAATTCTATGAAATAGTCTTTGAGAAAATGTCAAGACAAAATCACATAATAAAAAATGAAAAAAAAAAAAAACACCAGTAAAATGCAGAAAAATTATTCAATCTAATGAAAATACCAGGCGCACACCTTCATATGGTGAATAATAAGTGTACAAATTTTCAGACAAATCTATGCAATAGTTTCCGAGAAACGCTCTGGACAAAATCTCGTCTACAGACAGACGGACAGACAGACAGACGGACATGGTGATTCCAATATACCCCCCTTAAACTTCGTTTGCGGGGGGTATAATAACCGAGGAATTCGAAGTAGCTCTGTCGAGATTTAGTGAGACTACAGTGAGACTGTTAATGATTCAGGTAAATTATTCACTGAAATGTGGCTACGAAGTGACTTGGATGTGGAGAAATGGTAAACAGAAAAGTTATGTTTCAATTTTCACAATATCAATATCAATGTATAAAAAGAGATTTACAGATAACCATTACTATATAAGGTAAAGAAAGGTTTGTTTTTATAACAGAAAATATAATCCAACCTAGGCCTGGGGAGAACGAGGTGTGATAGTAGATATCGAGTTAGATGCTTTCCTGTAAATTATCACAATAGCGAAGTTCTTCTTTAGCCTCTCCCCTTTTTTCTTATTTCATGAAAATCCAACAAAAAGCTATGAATTCAAAGCACATTCTGTCATAGCATTTCAAAGAGATAGACTATATCAATTTCCTGATCTAATAAAATTGGTTCTAGCCTACAGTTAATCTTCAAATTACAATAACATTAGTCGGAGGTCATTAAGTAAAGTTTGTAAAGGTTTCTTTCAAACTGATATTACTCTACATGTATATGCAAGTTCTTTATCTTTAAAAACGATTTTTCTGTACGTTTTTTATCTTACTTTTCTTTCAAGAAATTATCTCAAGAAAATTGGAAGTCAGTGTACTTCTACTTGAATTCTTACTTAAGAGTATAGTTGCTGTAATAGACGAAGCAAAATAATACATACTGGTACCTCCTTTTGTCATCCGCGTTGGAACAACCCGTTCTAATGCATAGTCAGGATTAATTGGACCAGGTTCTGTTTAGAAAGACATTTTAACAAAGTTTTTAGCATAAAATTTGTGTGCAGATCAAGTGCTTTAAAAAATTCAAGATTTCTTATACATGTATCTTAATAAGTAATATATCACGGTAAAATTCACTATTACAAACTTTCATATGCTCCCTCCGGTTCTGATTCAGAAGATTCCATTGGTGGTGGTGGTGGTGGTGGAGCCCTCTGACTTCGAGGTGGTGCACTACATACACCAGCAAGTGCTATTCTGCGAGGAAATCGAGATGATCCTCTTACCTGAAACTTGAAATTTATTTATTCATGATTAAATGAAAGCAAAAATCGTCTGCTTGTGTGTTTGTGAAACTACCCCTCAATGAAATAGTATGATGATTCTATATCTTGGAATGTCTCTGACTTTAGCTTGCTCTTGCGCATAATTGTTTACAATGTAAATTATCTTAAAATAAATACTAAACAATCCATTCTAAATCTACTTATATTTTTTTTAAGTAAGCTTTACGTTAATGCACGGAAAGAGTTAGTTGATAACCCTTTTTAACAATATTAGTCTAAATTGATTTAATTCTTTCATCATCGACCATCATTATCTAACACTCTTTAAATGGTTTTTTTTAATGATATGACATTAGAACCTTATATTAAGTACACAAAATGACGAAAATATCATTTCCCAACATTGTGCCAAAAATGAATAACTTTGGTAAATTAAAGGTAGCTTATTAAATATTTAAAAAGTTCGTGTTCTTATGGGACAACCCTCGTATTTAACAAAACATGGATCATAATCTCTCACACTTTCAAATTTTACTATAATTATTTACCGTTGATACTTCCATTGAGCAGCAGTTAGATTGAATTGAGAAAACATTTAATATTGCACACAGCTCAATATTCACATTGAAAAAACATAGAATGTAAAACATACATAAGGAAAATATAAATGTATTATATTTTTTTGTTCAATATTTGGCGCAAATTATTTTATCTGTAAGTTAGTGTATATGTAACTGAGGGCATGTACATGTATACATATACAAGATATAGCGATGTAAGAATCTACACTACTTCAGGATGCTTGCATATAAATTTCAGCTTTTCTGGCCCAGTGGTTCTTGAGAAGAAGGTTTTTAAAGATTTTTTTTTTTTTTACATATTTCAATGCAAAACTATTGATTTTCTATTGTGGCCCTGCCCTACCCCTGGGGTAATGATTTGAACAATTTAGAATCTACACTACCCCCAGGATGCTTCCACATAAGTTTCAGCTTTTCTGGCCCAGTGGTTCTTGAGAAGATTTTTTAATGGCCCCACCCTATTTTTGTGATTTCTTGATTATCTCCCTTGGAAGGGGGTTTGACCCTTCATTTTAATAATTTAAACTCCCCTTCACCCAAGGAAGCTTTGTACCAATTTTGGTTAAAATTGGTCCAGTGGTTCTTCAAAAGAATTTGAAATTGTGAAAAGTTTACAGACGAACGGACGGACGGTCAGACAGACAGATGGACAGACAGACGGACATGAACGCCATAACATAAGTATTAACATACTGTATAAAAATTTTTTTAACTCTTTATTCCCATAAAAAAATTTTGACCCCATACTGAGACCCCTTCCTGGTCTAAAAGGGTTATGAAATGAACTTGACTCCATGGAGATATTTCAATAATAATATGTCAGTCTAAAATGTCCATGTTGTTCTTGAGAAAACTTTTTCTTGTATACATAAAAAAAACCCACTCTAACTCAACGTCGGACTTCGTAATTTCAAGAAAAAACATTAATCGACACAACTTAAGATTGTGTGGCCATTCTACTCTTGGAAGAGGAATTTTTTGAATTTTATGTATATTCCCAAGTAAAACTGATCCAAAATTGTGCCTCAACCTCCCCTGTCCTCAAGGACCATGCTTAACAACTTGGCCGATTGTGTAATGATATGCTTAACCATGGACTTGCTCTTCTTGAGCAAAGTTTGAAATGTTTTTTTTTTCTCTCATTATATATTTAATGTAAAACTTTGAGCCGCTATTGTGGCCCAACTATATCTCCAGGGGGCATGATTTTTTTTCAAAATATGTGGCTGCTTGTATGTGACTAGTTAGTTCAAGAAGACTATTCCATATACGAGGTCTTATTAAGAAGGTCGTGGACTGATGGGATAAAATTAACACTACATATGCTGTACTTACAAAATTTATAAGGACCATAAAAC